CCTGAGATGAGGGCTGCGTGGAGAGGTTGGACAAGGTAAGGAACCGTTCCTCCTCCAGGACACTCAGACAGGACACAGCCTGGCCCTCACTTTAATTTTTGCCTGTAGAACCCACTTCAGACTTTCCCAGAACAGTAAGGTAATAAATGTAGACTGTTCCAAGGTCCTAAATTTTGTAGGGCTTGATTACAGCAATAACAGACACTAATATGGAAGGTATATATTTTAGAGTCATAAAAGAAAAACTTTTTGCTATTGAAAAAAAGAGCCAGTGGTAGGTGACTATCACTCAATTCTGTGATACTGTAAGGAGACACTGGAGACAACTAAGTGAAGAGGTTTATTTTGCTCATGGTTTTGGCGGTTTATGGGCACAGCACCTGAATTGACTCTAGTCTGGTTGAGGATCCCACAGCAAACAATAATGGCAATGGCTTGTGCAGGAGACGGGTGAGTGGCCACATCCCTAGCAGGGAGCAGAGAGTGCTGGGTGGGGCCAAACAGGATTTTACAGCAAGCTGATGCACAAAGGAGGCCCACTAGCCTTTCTTGGGCACACCCCCAATGTGACAGAACTGCGAGTGTTTTGGTCCTGTGCTCATGATCCCTTTAAAAGCAGAGAACCCCAGACTTGTCCATGATGGGCACCTTCTTGTCACTCAGTGTCATAACTCACAGAGGTATCGCCTAAGTACCTGATTTAAAAAGCCCCTCCCTTAATCCCTGAAAACTTGCTCCTGGCAGTTAGTTAGCCACACCTCAGTTTGTTCTCTCCCCAGCCCCCAGCTTGGGCATCTTGCTCCTCTGGCACAGGGTGCTCAGGCACAGAGGCTGAACAAGGAAGGAAGGCCTAATTGCCAGTTAGATGAGGGTTCACACCAGGTTGGGAGCCCAAAGGCCTCAGGGAAGAACTGGGGAGCTCCACGTTGAAGCAGTCATACTTCTAGAAGCAGCTGAGGGTCTGCAGAGCTGTGCGTGAGGCTGAAACCCGCAGTGGAATCTCCTTCATGCAGTGGCCTGGGGAACTGTGTGGGTGTGGGGGTGTGCGGTAAGGCTCAGCTCTAGTCTGAAGGTAATCATAAACACATGGGCAGAAAGGTGACAGAAACAAGCACCGCTGCTGGAGTATGGACAGCAAGGCCAGTCATGTGTTTGCCTTTGACATTCTTTCTGAATCTTAGCAGCAAACCTGTTCTCCCTGTCCATGCCACAGATGGGGAAACTGAGGCTTGGAGACCTAAGGAGTAGGTAGCAAGGCCTGGGTAAAAACCCCAGCCCAGCTGGCCTCATAGCCCAAGCTCTAGGCTCTTAGGGCCCTGCCTTAGGCAGCTGTGGTGTGATTACTCCTCAGACCAACAGGACCCAGAGTCTGAGCCTGACCTCTAGCCAAAGTCAAAGCAGGGAGAGGTGGTATTTTGAGAGTAGTAGACAGGATGGACCAGGTGCATCCTACTTCTTCACCCAGTCCCTCACTATGACCTCCACCTCCATGAACAGGAGGACTTGGCCTTCCATCTGCCTTCCACGTCTTCGTGGTAGTAGAGATGAGGAGGGCTTGCAGATCCATCTATCTGAACCTGCTACAGGGTCCTTGGCAGAGCCCAGGTGCCACTTGCCCTTGTACTAAGGAGGAAACCCTTGACAGACCCTGGCATCATGCTGTGTGTGGCCTGGTCTCTGTGAACATATCCAGCAGCCCGGAGGGGATGTCACTGCCTCCATCTTGAAGATTGGAGATGGAGGCCCTTTCTTCATTGGAGGTGACATGATTAGGCAGAGCTGAGATTCAAGCCATGTCTGTGTGATCCACTGTCCAGTGGTCACAAGGAAACCTGTGCTGGATGGCTTCAGTTGTCAACTTGACCTACCTGAGGAATTACCTCTATCAGCTTGGCTT